GAATATCTTTGGGTTTTTGACTGACAAGATATTTAAAGATATCACCTTGCACTTTGAGAAACTGAATTGTTGACATTTTTCACTATTTTCTGACATTTTATCGTCCAAACAATAAATCAATCAATCTAGAAAACAATAGATTGATAATAAATACCAACAAAGTAAATATACACATATATAAATATAGACTATATCTGTCCAAGTGGAACATTTTCCTTTTTGCTTTTATGTGTGTGTCTCTTTTCCTTCTCTCTAAATTTCTGTTCCTTACAGTCTGTCATTTCTCACTTTAGCCACTCCTGTTGCAGAGCAGCTCTCATTAGTAGCTGAACATTTTTTCACTGTCACATGTCTGCTGTTGAATTATGCATCGTATTCCTGCTCAGAGTGAAGGATGTATGTAAAGAAGTGTGAAACGTGACCTGGGAATTCTCTCTTTGTGATTGTTGTGCCATCAGGCTCCTACTCTCCGCCTGTCAGTCCTCCTGTCTGTAAACCTATTTATGTGTCTCTGTTTTCTATTTGAGAGATTTTAGAGCAGCAGCAGTAGCGAGCAGAGTTTTACTGCGTCATAGCTTCAGTGTCATTGAGTTCTTTGCTCATTCATTAACCTTTCCATTGTGTTGTATCAGTGTGTATAATAAAGGCAGTTGTAGCAATCAAGACCTCATTACTAAGATTGCAGGTCTCCTTAGATGCTGATAACAGCTAGAGTTTTGTGTGTGTGTGTGTGTGTCTGATGGTCAAATATCTGAGGAATTATGTCAATACTGGGCGATTCTGTGCCTCATAAAAGTGTATCATACAAGAGATTGGAGTTTGTTTTCTTGCGTTAGACTTTTCCATCCAGAATCAGTGTGTAGGATTTAATGGCATCTAGCAGTGTGATTGCGGATTACAACCCCTCACTTCACCCTCCTGTTCTGAGCAGGGAAAGAGAAGCTACATTGGCCACGAAACGCCCGAAAAAAGCAAATGTCCCTATCTACTGCCACAGTTTGGTTTGTTCCTTCAGGGCTACTGTAGAAACAGTGCGGTTCATTCGGCAACCCCAGTGTCTGGTCGTCTTCCGTGTCAAAGTTAACAAAAACATAACAGTTCCTGTTTTAATGTGATTATATTCTAATGAAAACTTGCCTACGAATATAAAATAATACAAACCATAACATAGTTGCAATATGCAGGTGTGTAAGAAAATATTGATATACTTGATTATCATGTAGGAATGTAACGATACACTCAACTCACGATTTGATGCAATTCATAACAATATTTTCTAATGATTGTTTAACAAAAGACAAATCACGAATGACAATAACAAAGAATGCATATTTCCTTTCCTCTTTGTAAAAGTGTTGTGATACAGCTGCTGACACGAGTGATGTAGGAGGTTGAACAAGTCAAAGGAAAAAAAACTTGTTAATGTTTTTTCATTGTCTTTTAACTCTTTTAACCTGAAACTGAAATTCACATCATATACAGAAATATCTGCTCTGCTTCTGTCAATCACTGGCTCATCTGATGGTGGTTAAATCTAGTAAATGTATTTCATGAAAGCATTTTTTGATGTAAACACAGCTTTTTGTAGCTCTTTAGTGGTTAAAAATCTTCTTTCCTGTAGGGATCGTTGCATTTTTCATTTCCAACGTTTTTTGCACTGAACGGATGAAAAGTCTGTGAGGTGGAAGGAAGACGGCTCAGAGTTTAGAGGAAAAACGTCTCAGTGTGATGTTCCTGCTACCAGCGAGGCCTGCAGGTGCTACACACTGAGCAGCAGTTGGCATGTTGTGTTTGATTTGCCTGCCTGCCGTTTCTGTGCCTCATGTTTCTTGTTTCCTCTGATGTTTGGGTTAAACCGGCAGAGCAGCTGTCATGGCTGCTCCCGTGGATGCTGACACTGACAAAGCGATGAATAGAGAGATTAAAAGTGGTTTAAAACCGTTTCATTCATGAGAAGGTTGCTAATCTGAGTTTAGGTGGATTTACACAGCACGGAAGATATCTGCTATTTGGAAAGGCAGTGTATTCTTGATGTAGTCTGCTTTGGGTATCTGCTTCCACTCGTTGACTTCAGTGAAAGTGTTATCTATTTCAGATTTTCTTTTTTTGTTGTGATGATCATACTACTGTTACATTCACTGTTTTAAGGGAACATTTAGTCTTTTTTTACTCCTCTGCTAGTAATGAAACACTTATTTTCAACACTTTCTCTGTCATCATTTACAAGTTTTGATGAAACTGATTTCACCTGTTAAATGAACTTCATTACTGGGGCATTCAGATGAAGAGGTAAAGAGGTGAAGCAGAATGTTCATTATTAGGCCTGAAGGTGAGACGATATTTGTGTCCTTGTGGACTACAAACTACAAATCATTTGTGAGCTTGATTTTGTCTCTGTACTTTATAAATCAACAGCTCTGCTATAAATGCTGCTTTGTCCTTGCAGTAAATCTCCAAGATTCAGTTTTTTTCTTCTCGGGTTACTGTTACAGTTCATACTTGTTTTGAAGTAAACATTGTTTATATTGTTTTGAAATCGGCCATTAGACGTCATGTGAAGACATGTCATGCAGAGGATGCAAGAATGCAATTTGTGAAAGTCTTGCTGTATCCACTCTTAGCATTTCTAAAATATACTCTTTAGTTTTCTTTGTCTGACACTTTTCTTTTCTTTTTCTGTTTCTTGTAACCTACATAACTCACCATATTCTTCCTCCACTATTGGACAGTACATGTGGTGATTTAAAGATCTTTTTACTGTTAGACCGAGAGCATATCTCTGTGGATCAATTGCAAGCTAAATCTCAAATATAAAAGCTGTTAGTCTGTTTGATTGTTTAATCCACGATATATAGACATTTGGCTTCTTTTATACCACACTAACACAGTTTAAATGCTTTATTGGTATGACATAAATGTATAAAGAATAAATTCAAATATACGTACTTAATGTTCCCGTTTTGTCTCTTCTGTTCAGGATGACAGTTCACTGAGCAGCGAGGAGGAGGCAGAGATGAGCGAGCCCACATGGCTAGCAGCTGATCTGGGAGCAGCGTCTGACCTGAGCCCGCCAAGCCGAGGAGAAAGGATGCGCCACAGTCCCCAGAACGCACACAGCAAGGAGGATGACGGTAAGGACGGGAATCTGATCTGCTCTTGCCGCTGTTGAATGAAAACATTGTTCTTCAGGAACCCAGAAGAACAGCCTTGTTTTGTTTTAGAGATTAGAAAGGGCTGTGTACAAAATCTCGTAAAACCCACAATGGAGCAATATCTTCAAAATGATTTTAGAAGTTTTAAGAGCAGCATCAACACCAATGGGTGTAATTTAATTGTTTTAAACTTGTGAGACTATTACTGAGAAGATCACTTCAAGATCTTTCAACCTGAACACGATGTTTGAACGTTGGGAATCAGAGGGTCAGAGTTTGTGAAGAGCAGAGGGGTTGCAGTGTTACCTGTAGTGCTATTTATCCATCCACTGTAGATTGTTTTGGTGTTTGGAGATATCAGCTGTAGAGATGTCTGCCTTCTCTCCAATATAATGGAACCAGATGGCAGATCTTGTTGTTAGCAGTTTCATGTAGGAACTATTTAGACATTGCAGGATACTGAGCTGCAATGCTAGCTAGCTCACCTAACACCACAGTAGTTTGGTTGAAAGAAAATAATAAACTCTGCAACTCACATGGATAAATAGCACATATACAGGTAAGAGGAAAAATATGTACTTTTTAATGATGTTGTATTTAACATCATTAACTTTTAGTACACAGGCCTTAAAGCTGAATGCCACAGTTATTTTTCTAAGTGATATACACCAATTATATTGCTATTGCTGTTGCTTTTAACACACATTGCACTTTTTTTTAAACCAAATTAAAGGTTTCCGCAGCAGCAATGTTGTTTGTTGACCAAATCTGTTCTGGCAAACTGTGAGAAGAAACTGCGACCGACAGTGAACGCTTAATAGGAGCTGTGGTGTCTTTTAACTGTCTGTTCCTTTGTTTTCACTGCGCTTTTACTCTCTCCTGTCAGTTTCCCACTCTCTTTCTCTCTCCGTCACCGTGATTCTTTCAAGCTTCACACTTAATGTGGCATTCCTGGAACATCACTGCCGTTGGAGAGATGTCTTCCAGGACTGATACATACAGTACAAGCAGCAGAATGTGTGTGTCTGGTTGTGTGGCAGCTTATGATGATGGTGATGCTGTTTTTTTCAGCCCGTTTGCAGTGGAAACGCAGAATGTTTGATCCTTGACAAAACAGCAATAACAAGCCAGAAGGGATTAAAAAGGTTGTGATATGGAAGCTGTCTGACCAGAGGTGGTTTTGGAAGGTGATCAGATTTTATAAAAAAGGTCAGGACGGTGGCCTCTTTGTTACCTCGTTCCCTCTCAGTGCTCTTTCTCTCTCCCGGCGCTCTTTCTCTCTGTCGCCTCATACTCAACTGTCACTCTTCTTCTTCTCTCTGCCACCCCGTATCCCTTTCCTCCCACCTGTCTACCTGCCTGCCACTCTCCCTTTCTTTCCCACCCCCCCACACACACACACTCAGTGTTTCCCTTTTACTTTCTCCTGCCTGTCACACTACTCTTTGCGCTCTCCCTCTCTCTTTCTCTCTCTGCACTGAAAGGCTTACTGCGGTGAGGAACGCTCACTTTGAAGGCAGCCGTATTGTTTTATAATGCTAGAAGGATACAGCAATTACCTGCTACTGTAACAAGTGGGCTGTGTGTATCTGTGTGTGTATCTGTGTGTGTGTGTGTGTGTGTGTGTGAGACCTTGGCCATGCATATTTGAATGCTACTGTAATGCACTGTACCCAGCACTGAGTGACTGTGAGTGTGTGTGCGGTTGTGTTTTTCTCCTTGAGCTGAGCAAAGACAACAGGCCAGTTACTGTCGTGAAATCAGCCCAGGTGTGTGTGTGTGTGTGTGTGTGTGTGCGCGCCTGTTGACGTGAGCGGGGTTGACAGATCAGTGGCAGGAGGGAGAAAGTGCTCCAACCAATCTCCATCAAGATCTTTCTGTCTTTGCTTCTTCTCCGAGCTTCTGCTGGATGAGGGATGATGACCTAAGGAGAAGGAGGAATGAAGGGATGAGTAAAGGGAGAGAGGTGGAAGAGAAAATCCCCTCTTGGGTTAAAGATTCTTCTTATTTTGTTTCCTTTTTTTAGTGCTGTGGTGTTTTTAACCTTTCAAAGATCATGCGTAAGTCAAACAGATTGGACGGCATTTTGACGTCCAGTTCATGATTTCCTGTGTGAGAGAGGATTCACACACAGAGCTCTTGTTCCTTTAATTAATCAATTTGGCCCTGTATAGTATCCCTTTAATATCTTTATAAGGACTTTAAACATGTGTGATAAGGATAAGTGACTTTACAGTTATCTTTGCGTATTTTTCAGGCTTTTATGTAATTTTCAGTTAGACCACAGCTAGCTTATTGATCTATCTGCTGATTTATTTTCTCAATTAGTTTCCTCAGAACCTAAAACGATGTCTTTAAATATCTGGTTTTGTTCAATCAGCTGAAACACAAAGATATTAATTTTAGTGTGATACAAAACAGAGAAAAACAGCAAATCCTTACATTGGATAAATTGGAACAAAAGAACATTTGACATGCTTAAAAAATTACTTAAATAATTATTTGATGATCAAAATAAAATAGTTAATCTGCAGTTGATTGACTAATCAGAATTAATGGACTAAGTATCAAATTTAGGCAGGGAATTCTAAGCTGTCTAAGCTCTAATTTCTAATATAATATTTTAAAGCATTTAATATTCAGTAGCATTTGTTTATACCACTATTATAATTTTGTCCAACTTTTTTCTTTCTTTATTAAACAAACATCAGCAGTGAGTCTGTGACAGTAAGTGGATCATATTAAAAAAACATTTTAATATGAAATGCCGCCAGGTGCTAGTTAGAGGCATCAGGTGTATTTGTTTTATTCAGAGAGGCTAAATGGAAAACAATGTGAAGGAGGTTTGGAAGGAAGGCAGGGGCAGTACAGGGGTGGTGGCTGAAGGGGGGAGGATAAAGCTCATGAAAGAAACTGGCATGGGATTAGATGATTTGAGAGCATGGCATTATGGGATGGTGGAAGGACGGAGAAGGCTAGCTGGAGGGAGTGAGCTCTGTGTGTGTGTGTGTGTGTGTTGTGTGTGGTGTGTGGTGTTGTGGTTGTGTGTGTGTGTGTGTGTGTGTGTGTGTGTGTGTGTGTGTGTGTGTGTGTGTGTGTGTGTGTGTGTGTGTGTAGCTACAGTAGGCAGAGTGTATAAAGCATGGTCATTAAAAGGTCACTTTGTTCCCTACACCTCATATAGAAGCCAGAGGACGGTTGTAGGCGTCCAAATGCCACAACACTCAGAGGAGCTGAGAGGCAGAGTTGAAGTGGCTTTCCTGCTCAATTAGACTTCAGTCCAAGGAAACAGAGAGCAAAGCCTTCTCCTATTCCTCTAATGTACAGGAGTGCTAGTGATGTATGAAACACTCGGGTCGCCTGGTCGGTCTGATAGCCTGAATGCTGGCCAGATAGATAGAGTCATAAGAAATGGGGGGACGGTTCCCAGGGGTCTTGAAAACTGAAATGTCTTTGTGGAAAAATAAAACGAGGCCATACCTTTTTTTTTTTTTGAAAACATGTCCTTGAGAGTAACTCACACCCCGAGGAAAGCCCTGCCTTGGATTTTTGTTGAGGATTGCTTTTCAGTTTAGATTAAATCATGAGCTCACTTTTGGGATGTCAATCAGTGTGTTGCGATCACAAAACATAGAAATTCTGAGACAAAAGAGTTTTTAATATTTAATGTTTAAATGAGTGTGAGAAACCCTTGTGTTCCAGTTAGTTTCATTTCAGTAGCCATGATTCCTCCTCTCCCTTAGCTCTGCAAAGGTGTCGGAGCAGCGCTGGTCATGGCTTCTGCTGTTGCTATGACACTAAATAAAAGCTGTTTGAAGTGCAGCGCTCTAGATTATAAAAGCTGAAATATTTTTAACTTTTATTACATTTTTTTTTTCTTCAGTGCTGAAAGCCCACTAAACTCTCAGCTCTCTGTGGGGAACTCAGCAGCAGCAGCTCTTTCCTCGTCCATCTCGTCGCTGTCAGAGGAAAGAGCTGCTGCTGCTCTGGTTTGAACACAAAGCCAAAGAGCTTGTGGTTGATATGACTCCCAGAGTTAATATCAGGTGGGTGTTTTCCTAACCAGCAAGCTGTCAGGGCATTTAACTGGAGCAAGCAGCTCCTTTCAGCAGAGCAGATGGTCCGCACACACACAACCTAGTGTCCAGCTCAGAAGCAGCTAGTAAATCACTTTTAAGAGCTTCTGACCGCCACCTCGCTTTTCTTCCTTTCTGCTCCACTCAACTCAACTGTGACAGCTGAAGTGAAAAGCTCTTACTGTGTGTTCAGACGGGCAGTTTGAAAACTTGTGGCTCATGGCCGACTGCTGAGTTCAGGGAAAGTTGGTGTTGCATGAAAGAGCCAATGGCCTCACAGTCTGTTGAGCATGTGTATGACCAGAAGATTACTGGACTTTACAGGAAAATCTCTGTGAGTAAAGGGAATCAGAAGTCAGTCAGTCACTACCTTTAGATGCCCCTGAACCAGGCTCTTATCTCCACACTGGAAAAATAACGACTGAAAGGCACACGGGAAGGGTAACTTAGGTAAAGGCAAACTCTAAATTATAAAAATGGATGCTTTAGATTTTGTTGCACAATAGTAAAATAATGGTCTGTGTGTCAGCATAAACACACCTGTGTTTGTCTAAAAATTACTCATGGGAAAATCTTTGTCTGACTACTAAAAGCAGTTCTGTTTGTTTTTTTATACCAACCAGTTTCTTCACTGAATGAAATCATCTTTGATAAAAACAAGCATACTTTTTTATAAATTTCACAACCAAAGAGCCATTACAGCACAGATATTGCTACGTTGCAAACCAAGAATAGAGGGTTTCATTAACATATATGTGAATAACATAACATACATTCTTATTTACATTCGTACTATGTCAAAGGAAAGACAAAAAAAACTGTATGATTTATTTGTGAAGACAACGCGTGGACGCCCTTTCTGCAGTAGGCCAACAAAGTCACCAGGAAAATAATAATAAAAGGAAGGTTCGCCAAATATTATAAGAGCTTTTTGTTACCCT